TCAAAGGAACAAATCAGTAGAGCAGGGGTCACCAATCTCGGTCCTGGGGTGCCGGTGTCCCTGCAGGGTTTAGCTCCCACTTGCCTCAAAACACCTGCCTGGATGTTTCAAGTGTACCTAAGACCTTGATTAGCTTGTTCAGGTGTGTTTGATTAGGGTTGGAGCTAACATCTGCAGGACACCGGCCCTCCAGGAACAAGTTTGCAGACCACTGCAGTAGAGAATAAAAAACAAACAAAATAAATCAATTCACAAAATGTGCACATAGATGTCTCAAAAATTGTAACAACTTGTTTCATTGGATAAATTAGATGTATTAGTTTATATGTCACTTCTTTAACTTTATTGGTGAGACAGTATTTACTAGGTAAGTTTTTAAAAAAAAATTCCACTTAATTTGCTCAAATAAGGAATTTTAAAAAGATTTGCATTTAGGCAACAATGTAGTTCTGCAAAACCTTTTAATGTAACAGTTATTCAATTTATTGTCTATAATTTTCACACCATTGATACTTAACTGATTACTAAGTAAAAGATTTGATTCAGTGAATAAATTACCGAATAAGAGCTGAACAAGTCCACTAGAAATTGCATCAAATACTATTGCAAATTCTTTAGCAGTTATGGGGATCTTGTAATTGAAATAAATTCACAATAATTAAAAGTTGTCTATTATTTTTGAATAACTGTATCATCAATATAATATCATTATTTTGTTTATTAAAAAAAGCATTTTAAGGTCAAAATTATTAGCCCCTTTAGGCTATATTTTTCAATAGTTTACAGAATAAACCATAGTTGTACAATAAAAATAAACAGCGGGGCTAATAATTCTGACTTTAACAGTTTATACTAAACGTGACGAAACTTCTGTTTTTGCTAATAATGTTCTTCTTTTAATTGACAAATCTCTCATTAACCATAAGTTTAATGTTTGTTTTGTTTTCTTAATAATTGGTGTAAAATTCAGTTTACTTCTCTCTTTTTGATCTTTACAAATTTTTTTGACCCAAATATTTTACCATCTCCTTTACTGGAATACCATATATATTAGTATCATTGCATATTTTCAGAGAGAACACCACACATTTTTTAATATTTAAACATAAACCAGATGCAGATGAAAAAAGATTGAGGCAATCAATAGCAGTTTTAATTTTAATTTCATTATTTAGAAAAATGTAAGTGTTGTCAGTTAACTGAGAACCTTTTACTTCTGTCTCTAAAATTCTATTACCTCAAAATCTATCTCTTTTGATATGCAGGGCCATAGTTTGTGTTACCAGTAAGAAAAGAAAGGGTGAAATATAGGACAACCTTGACGTACTGTATGTGTCACACAACCAGCGATCGCTTTCCAGAGATCGCTGGTTCTCACACGAACTCTCAGGACTACATTTTCCGCATTCCCTAGGACTACACATTCATACATGCACTGCTCCCAGACACGCACGCCTACTCATTCATCTATCCTGATTGCAATCACCAGCTGAACCTTGTCACAGACTGATATCACTCCATTCATAAGCCACTCATTCACGCTTCCAGGGGGCCGAGTCTTGTTTGCATCCTTGTGACATTACAACGCGTTTCCCTGTCTTGTTTTCTCCATGTTAGACCTAAGCCTTGTCAACCTTGTTCTCTAGTTTAGCCGCCTGCCTTTTGACCTGTTGCCTGTTTATATCGACTACGATTCTGGACTGTCTTTATATACCCGTTTGCACCTGATGACCACTGCTTCCCTGACATTGAATAAACCTGCATATTGGATCTTACCTTCTGTTGTGAGTGTCACTCCCCCCAGTCGTAACAGTATGCTCCTCTTGATCTTGATGTTTTTCCATTTGATAATTTAATTTAGTTTAAATAAAGCCTTTATAAAATAATCTTCAAAGCCAAAAAAAATAAGAGTCTTAAACATAAAACTATGATCAATTGTATCAAATGCAACAAATAAAATAAAACTATAATCCAAAATTAATTCATTGTAATCAATCAAATCTAAAATGAGCCTTATATTACTGGAAATGTGTCGCCCTTTCATAAATCCTGATTGACATACATAAATAATAGGGTCTTTCTGCAAATATGAGCAAATATTTTTGGGAGATTATCATTCATTTGTGGGCATCCAGGAGTGTCTTGCATTTCAGGGATACTCCCGCAACTTCCGGGAGACTTGGGATGTCTGAATTACACACCTGGGGCCTGTTTTAGTAAGGAGGTTCAAACAACTCTGAGTTTAAACTTGAACTCTAAGTTGATTTACCGAGTTTTTGGTTTCAGAATAGCTGATCTGAGCTGGGTCAATCAACTTTGAGTAGACCAACTCAGAGTTAAGCGCGCACACCATGATTATAAAAAGGCATTATCAATAGAGCGCAGATATTACGAGTGACCATGGCAACATCTTTAAAAAAAGAGATCAGCATTTCTTTCTCCGGCTGAACTTGATCTGCACATGCAAAGTTATAGCAAATATGAGTGTATATATTTAAAAAGAAGCAACGATCAGTGAAACAGAGACAGTTAGCGTGGGAAAACAGCTGCTCAAGTTAATGCGTAATTTTTAATTTTAAGTATTTAAACATTTAAGTATAATAAAATAAGTAATGTAAAGTGTGACGTTTATACTTTTTTTCTAAACTTTTATACACTTTTATCAGTTTTAATAGATTTAACAGTGCACTTGTTGTGTCTCTGCCTTTTTATTGATCAAGTGAGGTTGATATAACATTAAGAAGGTAAGCAGTAATAAAATATTTTTAGACAGAATACTAATCCCATTAATCTAGTAACAGTGCATGTCGAAGGTTAAGCTAATTGTTTATGAAAAAAAGGACAAGCCTCGTATGTGATTTGTTCTGTGTGTGACAAAAATGTAGGCAATAGCTGTGTTTCCATCAAATAAGCTATTACATAAATTTGTGCAAAACTGGAATAACGCCTAAAAATAAAGCAGAGTTTTTATCCAAAGAGTCGAAGAGAACACAATCGTCACTTCCTGATTAACTTGCACCAAATATCAACAGTAAAAACAGAATTTACTGCGGTAGAAGAAGCTGCGTCATATGATTTTTTATTTAATTAATGTACTTGTGCCTCAGAAGACAATGCTGACACACAATGAACACGTGGGGGCGTTTGAAGCCAGACGCGGAGATCTTGACACGCTCCAGACGCTCGGAGGTAATTAATAATATACATTAATACTGAAACAGTTAAGGCATTTTAGAATGACTTAAACAACATTTAAGATGTTCTGCAGTGTGCTCAGTCTGCTGGTTTGTCCATTCACACACATTTTCATCATCATCTCTAACAAACCTTTTTTTAATGTACATACTGTAATTGGTTAAGTGCACTTCGTAGTTTATGTGCATCTTATCAAATAAAAGTTTAACCTATTCAGTTATGCACATGTTTTATTATGCCTATTTTCAAAAGTTATGTGAATCATGACGTTTCCATCAATCGTTTTTACGGGCATCTCCAAAATGAGCTCTAAAATAGGTGTGGAGACGTAAGGCTAATGCGAGAAATATGCTTCATCTTTAAAAAAGGGGAGGAGACCGACAGAAACTCAGAGTTTAGAGAATAAAACCTGCTCTGGACCAGGTTAGATTCACAGAGTAAATTACCACAGTAACTGACTCTGAGTTAAAGTTACCTTTCTTTCAGAAACAGGCTTGACTTACCCTGATTTCTTGAGTTTAACAAACCTGCCATTTTGAAACGGAAAACCCAGAGTTTCTCTCATTTCAGGGTTAAAATACTCTGAGTTTTCACTTAACCTCCTTTCTGAAACAGGCCCCTGCTGTTCTAAGTCTTTGTCTACCTTTATACTCCTCCAAACCCACACTCCACCCAGTGGTCAAAAACAGCATTTCAACAAACATAATGGCTCTTACACCCCGGCCCCTAATTGTACATGGCATGTAGACATAACAATTCAACAATGTTCATAAAGAGAGCCATTAAAGCAAAACTATAAACATTGTATTAATCAATTCTGTGTAGGTGTAAAATTTAACAGTCTTTACCAGTCCATTATATTTCCATGCTGTCATACAACAGACAAAGTTGTCACAGGTCTCTCAAGTACACTGGTTTTAGACGAGACGGTCAAAAACTGTGCTTCCTACCAACACTGTCCTACTCCATGCAGTGAAGCCACAGTTACAAAGTCTTCTACTGACACCTTGTGGCCAATAGCCAAAATACAATGTATGGCTCCTACACCTGTACTAGTTATTAATCATGGTCTTACTAGGCTTAATGCAAACTCCAATTCTAATTCAGCAAATAAATGGACAAAAACATGACAAACACAACTGTTCAATTGACACAATTTTATTTCAATTCAACAATACATTTTAGGCAGCAACACCGCAAGATGCAAATATTGCTGCCGCAAGCTCTGACACCAGACATTAGCAAGAAGCAAAGGACTGGAGAGGTGGTGAGGCCACTGGTGTTAGCATGCCTGGCTAATCAGCTCTTCCTGCGTGACCAGGACCGGGCGCTCATCCTCCATGTCTGATGGTGAGATCTAAAGCAAAACAAAAACAAAATCAGGTTTATTGTCCCCCAAAAAACTGACATTTTGAAAAGTTTTTGTAGATCATAGGTACCGTAAACCAGTCGTGGAGAAGAATCTGCTCCAGTGGTATCCTCTCGCTGGGATCGGGATGCAGACAGGCATTTATGAGATGACTGCATTCTGAAAGACAGGATTAATGTTTTACTATTACTTTAAACATCCTTTACATCTCCTGATGGCATTTTGAACAGCTGAGCCAAGTGGCTTTGTCAGACACTTTTTTGTATGATTGTAACAATTTTTTCAAGTTCTTACCACAAGACAAAGACGGCAGATACCAGAGCCAGTGCTGCATCTTTTCCCGATCTGTGTAGTCTGGCATATATCCGCACACCATAGTGTATAGCAGCACTCCAAGCGAATACACAGTTGCTGGCCGTGCCAAGTATTTGCCCGTTTCGAAAAATTCCGGAGGGCAGTACATCTCTGTGCCTGGAGGAAAGAGATTTGCATGTCTGAGTTACAACAGTTTGTTTTTACTGTATTCAGCAGCTTGTGTGTCATGACACTAAAGTTTTAATACTGTACATACCACTAAAAGTGTGGTACTCTGTTTCATGGAACAGGTTCCCACAGCCGAAGTCAATCAGTGTGACATCCATGGTGTGTGTGTTGATGATCAAGTTCTCCAACTTGATATCTCTGTGGAATACTCCTCGCCGGCAGCAGGTCTCAGCTGCCTCGATAACCTGGCGCATCACATACCGAGCAAACCTTTCTTCAAAGATGTTGCCACAGCTCTCCAAAAGCTTGAACACACTCAGGCATGGTGAAGGACGCTGCAGGACCATTATATAATGGTCTGGAAAGTCCTGCCAATCCAGCAGATCGATTATGTTGGGTGAGCTGGGACCCTTGTTTGCCATAAGTGTGAGGCCGATTTCAAGTGGTACAAGTTCTGGAAGGCCAGGCTAGTGGAAAGAGTTTTTAGGATGGTTAAATTAAGGTGGTTTGCACAACATGTTTATAATTTGTTTATTGAGAGATAGTTTGCTGTCTATGATTAACACTGTTGAAAATAAAAACAGAGTTAGAGGAGATGAGTCTACTTACAACGTAGAGATATTCCATGCCCTCCATTTTTTTGGCAAACTTGATTGCCACCTGATCAACAAAACAGAATTTAACAGTTAGCACTGGATTTCTTCAGGCCATTCTTTAATCCTTGTTGAAATTCTAGTCATGAATTTGTAGCATGTTTGGTGAAGTTGACCATTTATCAAGCACTCTAATTGTGTTACAAACGACAAAGCATAACACATAAATATAGTTTGTTAGGTTGATCATGCAAAAATATATGTAAATTTACCGGAAGACCATCATGGGCACGGACACCAGCATATACGGCACCAAATCCTCCTTCTCCCAGTAGCTCACCCATGTTGTAGGTCCAGCACATGCCTGTTCAAATATAATTAGTTTTAGAGACAGATTCATATTCTACAATGTAAGATTAAAACTTTATTACCACTTTATACACCATTACGTCACTAATACATAATGCAGAAACATCTAATCCTTTCAAAAAGTGAAAGCATCAAGCAGCCATAATTAATATGAACTTACTCCCAATAATCAAGACCATGTCTTGGCTTGGGTTTTCTGCCAGAGGACACACAGTTTCTTCCTCTGACAGATCATCTGGAAACTCCTGGATTTGCTCGTCAACAGTGAAGAGAGGAATCTCAAAACTACTGTTGGGAGTGTTCTGAGGACCATAACTCTCTACAGAAGATATGGTCTCCACTGAAGTTGGATCTAAAGAGAAAAATTTAACAATTATATATAAACACACAAACATTTCAATACTGCTACAAATAATACATTTATAGTATTTACAAAGACAAAACTGAAGAGTTCAGATACACAAACATCTGCACATCTGAACATTTGAACTCTGCAAATGTTTAAAGCTATGATGATCTTCTTTAATGATTAAGTTCAGTACAAACAAAATATGAAGAGATTTACCATCAGTAGACGTTTCTTCCTCCTGCTCCACATTCTCACACTGTTCCTGTATTTGCAGGTCAATGATGGAGGAAGGAACCTCAAGGCTGTTAGGAGCTTGCTGGTAGTCATGATGCTCAACAATTCTTGAGATGTTTCCTACTGAGGTTTGATCTAAAGAGGGGAACATACATACAACGTTTCAATCTTTTTACAAATACATTTGCAGAGACAATATTTTAAAGCTATCATTTTTAAAGTGATCATTTTTATAAAAAAAAAATTTCCAGTCACAGAAAAAATAAAGGGATTTACCATCAGTAGAAGGTTCTGCTTCGGTGACTGGCTTCACCCTCTCACTGTCCACCTGCTCCACCTTTTCACTCGTTCCAGTTCTTGGACGTGAAAAGCGGAACAGCTTTCTCCAAAAACTCGATTTTTTCTTCACTTTCTTTTTCTCCTTTACCAAACTCCCTACTCCATCTTCCTCACAAGGAACAACACGGCTCTCATCAAGCTGATGGTTTTCTTGACGAGGCGTGTCATTATTTAACTGAAGTGGTGTACTAGGATGTAAACTGTACACACACTCAGACTCTGTCGCTATATTCAGACAAGAAATTCGCTGACCCATGATAAAACAAACGCACTGTCTCACTCCAAACTACCCACTAAAACTAAATTACCGTCAAGCCTTAACATTCCACTTTGAAGTTCTAATTATGACATCAAATAGAATGTCCTTGAGATCGATTTGTTTTGTTTTAAAATTTGCTGAATTACATATTGCATACATAATACCTGACAATTATTATAGTAATGCCTAAAATAAAGCTAAAATAAATATTAAATCATATTATAAATGTAAATCTACTTGTGTTAATACTTGTTCAAACACTTATATAAATATTTAATTCCGTACTTCTGCAGTATAATGCTGCATCGCTAATACTTTCTTATTGGTTGAATTCTCTTTCTCAACCACTTGAGGGCGGCAAATATCATGGTATCTGAACAGAACTGATAGTCCACATTACTTCATGATCTCAGTGGGAGTAGTCTTCTTGAAGAGTTTCTTTTCTTTTTGTATGTATATTTAATATATAAAGAATTAAAGTCAGAAATGAATTAGAGTAAAGATGTGTGGATGGGATTTAAAAACATAATAATGTGAATCTACTAGTATTTTCCTTTCTTTTTCCTTATAGGTTAGAGGACGTGTGTTTTTCAGGAAACAATTTTAATTAAATAAAATATATTTCAAAATGTTTGTTTAAATTATGAAGCTCGGCCTGGTTTTGATCTAACTTGTAACGGGTGTCAACAATCTCCAGCCACTCTTTTTCACACTTTCTGGCTTTGTCCAGCACTAAGCACTTTTTGGGCATCAATTTTTAAATCAATTTCTGAATGTTTTCTTTTATAAGACCATGATTGCATATAGCCCATTTTTTCAAACTCTACCGAAAACACACACCAAGTCCACAGAGCACACTCTCTCTCATATATATTCACTCGAATATATGATTTCATCTCAAAACACTATGGATTTGAGTGTGTCATTTTTTTTTAGTTATCAAGTGACCTTGAATTTCATGTTTCATATGATTAACTAGGCTTGAAACTACACTCTACAGCAGTTTAAGTTAAAAATTCTGCTGTATTTAAGCAGCGTTTATACCCAAAACCAAAAATCCTGTCATAATGTATTCACCCTTTACTAGCTGCAGACCTGTTTGACTTCTTCTGTTGAGCAGAAAGGAGGATATTTTGAAGAAAGCAGGAAACTTGTAACCCTTAATTCCATGTTTTTTTTGCTATGGAAGTCCATGTGCACAGGTTTTCATTTATTCATTCCTTTGGCTTAGTTTTTTTTATTTATCAGGGGTCACCACAGCAGAATGAGCCAACTATTACAGTATATGTTTTACACTGCGAATGCCCTTCCAGGTGCAACGCTGTACTGAGAAACACCCATACACACTCATTCTCACACACTCACATACACCAAGGTCTATTTAGTTCATCCAATTCACCTAGAGCACACGTCCTTGGTACCCAGAGGAAACCCACGCGAACCCACGCGAACACGGGGAGAGCATGCAAACACCACACAGAAATGCCAACTGGCTCAGCCGGGACTCGAACCAACAACCTTCTTGCTGTGAGGCAACAGTGCTAACCACTGAGCCACCGTGCCACCCTATAGGTTTTCATCTTTCTTCAAAATAGTCTGTAGTGTTCAATAGAAAAAAGAAACTTGTCAATGTTTGAAACCACTTGAGGGTGAGTAAATAGAGTGTAAATTATAATTTATGTGTGAACTATCCCTTTAAAGGTTATTCTATCTAGAGGATCAGAACAAAAAATAAAAACATTGTGCCACTGAAAAATAACGTATTAGAAGAATTACATCTTATAACACAAACAGATGTTTCAACATTATATTTTTATGAATAAATTAATGGTTAGGATGCTCACATTGCTTGAGCTGAACACCAGACAATTGCATCCATTATGTGGCCAATAGGCTATGAACAGCTAGTGTTTTTCAGCCTTTTTTATTGCATAACAAGAACAATAGCATACAAAAATGAGGAATACAATACTTATATTTTTTCACATCAAAGGAACAAATCAGTAGAGCAGGGGTCACCAATCTCGGTCCTGGGGTGCCGGTGTCCCTGCAGGGTTTAGCTCCCACTTGCCTCAAAACACCTGCCTGGATGTTTCAAGTGTACCTAAGACCTTGATTAGCTTGTTCAGGTGTGTTTGATTAGGGTTGAAGCTAACATCTGCAGGACACCGGCCCTCCAGGAACAAGTTTGCAGACCACTGCAGTAGAGAATAAAAAAACAAACAAAATAAATTACAGGTATATATAAACCACAAAAAAATTTTCATAAGAAAATGAATCCATAATTGCACACATCCTTGAAGCTTTTTTATGTTTTTATGACTTTTAGGGTTTCAATATAATGCTGAAAATAGTTTTTTTAAACAAATCAATATCAGGCCTATCATTGGACCATTTTTGTTTGTGTACATGGTACTTTGTATATATTATCATTAAATTAATAAACAAATTTTGCTCCAAAGTTTTGTTATTATTATTATTGCATATAAAAAAATATATATATTTACAAGAAAACTGAATTTTTAATTTTGTAAGTTTAGACACAAAATATTCAACATCAAACCAAAACATTCGGGTATATGTGCATTTAAAAAAAGTCTCAAAAAAAATTGTAACAACTTGTTTCATTGGATAAATTAGATGTATTAGTTTATATGTCACTTCTTTAACTTTATTGGTGAGACTGTATTTACTAGGTAAGTTTTAAACTTTTTTTCCACTCAATTTGCTCAAATAAGGAATTTTAAAAAGGTTTGCATTTAGGCAACAATGTAGTTCTGCAAAACCTTTTGATGTAACAGTTATTCAATTTATTGTCTATAATTTTCACACCATTGATACTTAACTGATTACTAAGTAAAAGATTTGATTCAGTGAATAAATTACAGAATAAGAGCTGAACAAGTCCACTAGAAATTGCATCAAATACTATTGCAAATTCTTTAGCAGTTATGGGGATCTTGTAATTGAAATAAATTCACAATAATTAAAAGTTTTCTATTACTTTTGAATAACTGTATCATCAATATAATATCATTATTTTGTTTTATTAAAAAAAGCATTTTAAGGTCAAAATTATCAGCCCCTTTAGGCTATATTTTTCAATAGTTTACAGAATAAACCATAGTTATACAATAAAAATAAACAGCGGGGCTAATAATTCATTCATGGGGGCTAATAATTCTGACTTTAACAGTTTATACTAAACGTGACGAAACTTGTTTTTGCTAATAATGTTTTTCTTTTAATTGACAAATCTCTCATTAACCATAAGTTTAATGTTTGTTTTGTTTTCTTAATAATTGGTGTAAAATTCAGATTACTTCTCTCTTTTTGATCTTTACAATTTTTTTTTTACTGGAATACCATATATATTAGTATCATTGCATATTTTCAGAGAGAACACCACACATTTTTAAATATTTAAACATAAACCAGATGCAGATGAAAAAAGATTGAGGCAATCAATAGCAGTTTTAATTTTAATTTCATTATTTAGAAAAATGTCAGTGTTGTCAGTTAACTGAGAACCTTTTACTTCTGTCTCTAAAATTCTATTACCTCAAAATCTATCTCTTTTGATATGCAGGGCCATAGTTTGTGTTAACAGTAAGAAAAGAAAGGGTGAAATATAGGACAACCTTGACGTACTGTATGCTCCTCTTGATTTCAAATCTTGATGTTTTTCCATTTGATAATTTAATTTAGTTTAAATAAAGCCTTTATAAAATAATCTTCAAAGCCAAAAAATAAGAGTCTTAAACATAAAACTATGATCAATTGTATCAAATGCAACAAATAAAATAAAACTATTATCCAAAAATTAATTCATTGTAATCAATCAAATCTAAAATGAGTCTTATATTACTGGAAATGTGTCGCCCTTTCATAAATCCTGATTGACATACATCATTAATAGGGTCTTTCTGCAAATACAAGCAAATATTTTTGGGAGATTATCATTTATTTGCGGGCATCCGGGAGTGTCTATGCATTTCAGGGATACTCCCGCAACTTCCGGGAGACTTGGGATGTCTGAATTACTCACCTGCTGTTCTAAGTCTTTGTCTACCTATATACTCCTCCAAACCCACACTCCACCCAGTGGTCAAAAACAGCATTTTAACAAACATAATGGCTCTTACACCCCGGCCCCTAATTGTACATGGCAGGTAGACATAACAATTCAACAATGTTCATACAGAGAGCCATTAAAGCAACACTATAAACATTGTATTAATCAATTCTGTGTAGATGTAAAATTTAACAGTCTTTACCATCAGTCCAATATATTTCCATGCTGTCATACAACAGACAAAGTTTTGTCACAGGTCTCTCAAGTACACTGGT